GCAGAGCATATTAATGGATTCCAATTAAATGATGAAAAATGGAAATACAATCGACACTTTCTATGATACAAAAAAAAAATCACAATATACATCTACATCATTATCTAAAGATTTATATATTATTTTAAATTTTACAAAGTTAAATTTATGTATTATTTTTATAAAAAAATGTTAATTTTTATTTGTTTATGTTGTTAATTTATAATGTATCAATTATAAGAAAAGCTAAAATAATTTTTATTAATTTGATTACTAGTATTTAAAATATATAAACAATAAATTTTATATATTATAAATAAAAATAAAATATAATCGAAAAGTGTAAAAAATAAAATTATAAAAATATTTAAAGTTATAAAAAAGAACTGATAAAAAATGTAAATCTCGTTTTCTTCTATGTGTGAAAGGAATTTGGGTTTTCTTTATTCTTTGTTTCTCTTGTGCCTACGTATCACATTTATCTCATTTTATATAGATCATAAATATAATAAATCAAATTCCCATACCACATTTATCTCATTTTTTTCGATCACAATTGTAATAAATTAAAGTAAACTATCATATTTGATATGTTATTTATCTCCATCCATAATTATCTATGATTCAAGTGATTTGAGCAAATTCACTCCATCGTATTATTAGAGCGAATCAACGACACTTTTCTTTTGTTGTATTAGAGCGAAGAATTCTCTCTGCCAAATTAATTAGGGTAAAGAGCAAAAGAAAAAATCTTTAATTAATGATTGATTGAGTCATATATATTTATTATCATTACTACAAAATAATGATAACATATTTTTCAATCCAAAATCAATGAACCTAACATCGTTTAGGGTTTTGAAACATTAATATTTGAATTTTAATTTGAGGATTTAGGGATCTCGTCATGGATGGATCGGGAGGGAGCGGGAGAGATAATTGTCTTCCTTAAAAATTTTAAATTAATATTTATTTTAATATATTTCATCCGTTTAAAATTTTAAAATATGTCTCCTCGACACAAAATCTTGCATTCATATCTGGTTCTCATATCCTTTATACAATTGAAGACAACGAACGTAATAAAAAATAATGAATATATAATAAGTTTTAAAAGTTTCGACCAAGATGTAATTATTCTAAAAGTATAGTGATTATATAAACGTTTTACCCTAAAATAAAAAGTAGATATTAATATTGAAATACAAATAAAGTTAAAAAAAAAGCGGATAAGATGATAGTGTACAGCCAAATGCGTAAAGCTCACTCTCTTTCTAAGCCAAATGGAGGCGTCTTAATCAGGAATCAAAATCATAGCTCGTGGGACCCACCGGATATTTTTGGACGTATATTGATTTAAATTATAATAAAGCATCTGAACAATCACAGTTTTCGTAGACTAATAAATCAGATACTAATGATTAATTAAAAAAAAAAACAAGTGTATTTGTTTACGTGCACCACGATGTTGCAACTTCAAAATTAATAAGGAATGTTATTTTAATTAATATTAAATTTCAAAATATAATTTAAAAATCTATTTTCCATGTCCTTATGAAAATGAATATAAAAAATAAAATTTTAAATATATTATTTTCCCAAATATAAAAGAATACTGTACATTAATAAAAAAATTAATATAATTTATGAAAGAATAATTTATAAAACATAAAAGTATATCATATACTATAATAAAGTATAGTAACATTTTCATCCTTTTAAAATAAGGAATATTGTTTTAATATGATTATTATAAATCTTATATTTTTTTATTCATCTACGTTTCACATAATATTCTCGAGACACCAAAAATTATTTATTATATTTATATTTTTAAAAGAAAACTACTAAACGTAGTATTTGTTTCTGAAATTTTTTATTTTAAATATTGTTTTAATAGGCTTATATTAATTTTACATACACGTTAGTTTATTTTACATTTTAATTTATATAATCCTTGATTCCGTAGTATAATAATTTATAGTTTTCTCTTCGGTTAGTATATGAATGTCACGAAAGAATAATCTTTTTGTTTATGATTGCATGGAATTTGGACATTGATCATGTTAGTGCGTGGATAGTGGAGTTCATGTGCGCTTCACTGATTGGGCACCAATAATTTCACATTCCTACATCTCTAATGGAGGTGGCCCAATATTTATTTATCTTTTCTAAACAATCGATCTACCTAGTAGTGTCACAGTCAGTACTGTATAAAATGTTTGGAGTTAATAAGAGAATTATTAGGGATAAATGTATGATTTTATGTTAGTAACATGAATTTATTATAATTTATAAAATTTAATTTAATTTTTTTAAAATATAAAAATATATTATCAATAAAAAATATTAAAAAAATCTAAAATATATACAAATTTAAAATTTTCAGATCAATCCATCATAATTCATACCTCAAAATGTCATCTGCTTTAGCATCCGATTCCAAAAGTGGAAATACCCTCCTCATGTTGCATTGTTTGATTGTTTATGACCCTTTGTTTTCTTTATTTAAGTGAAAACTTTAAAGATTCAGATGCTTTTGTTTTCTTTTATCCTTCTCCTTCGTCAAATCCATGACAAAATTTAACTAAATAGGGTTATATACTCCAAGTTTGGTCAGACAATGAATCTGATTTTTTTTCATTATAATTTCTATTATTCAGTCTAAAGACACGCTAATTTATCTTGTCCGTAGATCACACATCATCCTAAAACCTACATTTATCTTCAAAATTATTACACTGTGTCGGAAGAATAATATATATGATCATCTCATTCGATAAGGACACTGATATTTTTTTTAATCTTTGTGTGGTGTTCGCATCCTTCTTTTTTAATTATGTATATATACTGAGGTGGAGCTGGTGAGATAGACAATGGTTTGATCCCTTTTGGTTAGATGATACAATTCACTTTTAGTCTTTTTTTTAACTTCAATAATTCAATTTAATCCCTATTGACTCTTCGTTAAAATTGTAATAATTATGTCAATATTTAGTTTGTGACCTATTTATAATTTTTATTTTTTAGGCTTTATTATTAATATACTAATAGACGTCATTTTCGAACCTATTGAGCGGTCTCAAAGATTAAAGAGAGTGTTGTTCTCTATTGGGGTCTTAAGTTTGAGCAACTACTTTTATGTAGTATGTATACATTATTAATAATTAAGAAATATCATAAACAAACATTATCTTTTAAGGAGAGATTAAGTCTATGAATGTGTAAATGTTTGAAGAATTTATAATAATGGAAGGAAGCAACACTTAAGAATATCTTTAGTTTTCGCACTAAAAGTCATCTTTAAGGACGATGACTTTATTGACAGCAAAGCCTAAATGGGAAAGGAATTCATTTGTGTGATGGATCAACTACTAATTTTGATGACTTCTTGTATATACAACCTTACCCAAAGTATTGATTTCAATAACATAGTAGTGTTTTTATTTCACCCAAAAAAAGCAAATTAAGAGACTATATGTATATGCTATAAATTAATTATAAATCTTTATTTTGTAAGGCATATAAAGGTAATTTATAAATTAGCAGATGGGTGTTTGACTTTTGGACTTTTTCTTTATACGGATACACATGTTTTATGATGTGATATGATGTACGTTAGTATAATATAAATACATAAATTATATGGACAAAAAAATATAAATACATAAATTATCTAACATATATTTAAATATCTAAAAAATGTCAAATTTTAATATATTTCTGCTTTGAACTAGTTAGTAGCTTTATTTATTTTCATATTAAAAAAAAGTAATTTTAAATTATTCTATTTTTTATATTTTTGAAAAAAGTTATAAATTTCATCTTGCAAGGCCATAACTATACCAAGTGTCATTTAAAAAAAGGTGAATTACATGTTTAGTATCTTAACTATTATTTTTATTTCATTTTGGTTACTTAATTTTTTTTTCAAAATTATTAGTAACGTTATATTTTAATTTTATTTAGTCAACTATTGTTAAAAAGAGTAACAGAACTACCGATGTAACATTTTTCTATTTTTTCAATCATGATGTGATATTACCTTATGCTGACACGTCAGTAACATCGTCGTTAATTCTTGAACGACAGGTGACCAAAATGAAATCAGAACTAATCTTGGGTATGATTTTGAAACAAAATAGTTGGATGACTAAAATGGAAAAAAATGATTGCTAAAGTACTAAACATATAATTTACCATTAAAATGATTATTAAAATTTTAAAACTATTTAGATTTTTATTTGTTTTAATTTTAAAAAACCACGATATCAAGTATTTAATGATTTTTAATTTACAAAACCACGATATGCTATATAACAATAAGTTTTAGAAAATATTAAAATTTAATGATTACAGTTAGAGAAAGTGTTTAATTGATTTAATTTAAAAATTCAATTAATTTAAATTTTAAATTTAAAAGTTGAATTAAGTGTAAAAGAAAAACTTAATTGACTTTTTAAAACTATACCGTATCACTGTACGCGATATCAAGTATAAAATAACAAATGCAATTCCTTCCAAAATGGAAAAGCAAAACGATTCGTTCCTAATATATATTTTTTATTTTCTTTCTGATTCTTAATGTTTCGTATTGACTAATTCAGACTGATTCAGATCGAACACCTAATTTTGGTGAGCGGGTCTCCTAACAAAAATTTTATGCATACATAAAAAATCAAACTTAAGACATACTTAAACGATATTAAACCTTTTACCACTTGAATTAACTCCGATGATATTAGTCCCTAATATTGAAGAAAGAAAATTTGCCATTTAGTTTACCGGAGCCCGTAGTAAACGACTTGGGCCTATTCACGACAACCATAAAGCCTCTTCCGATCATTTAAAACCCATCAACGAAGCCTTCAATTACAGGGCCCAATCCTCAGATCTCCAGGGTTTTTACTTCATTGCTCCCTATAAATCACCGCAATGCTTATCGCCTTCTCGTGTCTATGAGATATGTAGGGTTTATCATTTGTTTTCTCTAATAATCGTATTTGATTTGTGTAGCTAACCCCCAATGAGGAAGACATCCCATAGATAGGAAGTGCCGTATGACACTTTAATCAGCAACGGCAGCAAGTTATGGAAAATCCCCGTTTTCCCATCCGCCAATGTCAGCCCTCTGATTCGTGTTCTTAGGTTGCTCGATCATTGGCCGGGAATACACGCGGGGGTTTTCCTCGAAAGCCTGTTACGTTGTGTGGTGATTTGAAACGGGTCTCTGAGGGGTACGCTTTCGATATTTGAATATCATTTTTTTTTCTAATTTGGAATCATTTTGTTAGGTCCGACCACGTCGCCGGTAGCAAAAATGAAAAAAGCGGTGACCGGCGATGCTTTGATTGGACAGAAATAAATCTAATATTTCACCTTTTGATAGGAACCTGTGGGTCTGAACTTTTGTGATCTACGGAGCCGTTTTCGGCGATCACATTTGCATTTTTGACATGATTGTTAGGAAATGGACTCTGTAGCCAATGATGATTTCTTAATTTATAGTTGGAATTACCGACCGAATTATTACATTTTTTATGTCAATTTTATTTCTGATGCTCTCGATTTTGTTTTAAACATAAAATTATATATTTTTTAAGACGTAGTCACGAATCTATGGTTTTAGAGGCTTATGATGATTAAGAATTGCCTACATTGTCAGATATTAAACCAATGATGACAATGGAAATAACCAATCTTATCTGAGGCTGAAAGTTGCTACTCGTAATTTACTTGTGACGATGGAACAATGTCAGCCATTGTTGTTTGTAACGTGGTTTATAAAGTGATATCGAAAGTGATCATTCAAAGACTTTAAACCGATAAGGACTATATTATTTGCTATTGGTTATCTTTAGGAACAATCTCTACTTTTAAAATTACAACGCTAAACTAATTATCTGAAAAATAGATTAAATTTTAAGGTGAGCACTTGTCCGATGAGATCAAGCTTTTAAAGGAAACAATCCTTAGTGGGTAGTGCGAAAGGCATAATTTCTGGAATAGAAATCCCAAGGAGGAGATGCCTGGAAGGAAGGACGTACATGATGCATACACATCTGCCGAACAAACGCAATTATCTTTTCTTTTAATGTGTTCAGGTATCGGGGAAAAGATAACATTTCTTTTCTGAAGAAAAAATCATTATGGTCCTCTCAGCATGGAGTTTGATTATGTTCTGAAAACTTCCTGCTGTTAGCTGACCTGACCTTGTGAGAGAGAGATGACTGTGTTTTATGAAACTATAATATGTATGATGTAAATTTTCTTCAATTCTATATATAAATATATTTGTATGAAAAAGTTAAATCCTAAAATTATTAATTAAATTTAATAATTTAAATTATTTTATTTTTAATACAATAGTTAAAGATAAAATGAAATAAAAAGTTAATTTAAAATATTAAAATCTTGTATAAATATAAGCATAGAAACGAATGAAAACGTAACTAAACAGTAGAAGGCCATTAAGATTTTGGCGGTATAGTTTTTTAAAACAAATTAATTTTTTAGACGATGTCTTTTGTTTGCTGAAAAGATCATTTTACCCGTGAAAATTATTGATTCTTTAATTGTGTTATAAGATGTTTGGTTTGCAGATAAAATTATTATAAGATAATATTTATTATCAACGGTAATACTTTTTGCTTAAAATAATGAGAATGTTATTATCTCCAAATTACTAGGTACTGCATAATTTCATTCAAATATTGTAATTTAGTATTAAAGTTTACCTTGTAGAAAGCAACATATATCAAAATTATAATTTGGTATACTCTTAATATTCCTCCAATTAAACATTGTCGTCTTGCATTCTTATTAAACAAATCAAGGTAATACAACAATTCCATTTACTTATTTAGTGATGTTAAATTCTGTTAATCTTTTTTTGTAAACGAAATCTTATATTCTATGAACCAAATACCATTTAAGATTAGTACGACCAATATTGATAGAATATCATCTACCATGGCTGCAAGAAGTGTAGAGACGTAGGAATAGATATAGCCAAAGTTTAGATCTGATCAATTTTAATCTGATTCAATCTTATATAATCAATTTTTTTATTTAAAATTTCAGATTATGTGTGTCTTTGAGAAGGATAAAATAAAGTTTGAATTAGATTCGAGTTTAGGTTAAAAGATCTCTGATCTTACCCGACTTAAAATAATTTACTATATCTTATGCTTAGACAATATGAATTACATTTTTAATTTTATTTCCTTTTCTTTTTTCATTCTTCACTCCATGTTACTCAGTCTCTCATCTCTCTTTACTCTAAATTTTCAGAAATTCAAATTTTAACCAAATTTCAGAAATTCATATTTTTAGTTGACAACCGCACTAACTGTCGTCGTCAGGAATTGTTGAACTAAAAATTTTCCGATCAAGTTTTCTAATTTCCGAATATGATGTTCGTTTCTTCGAACAAATATTCTGATATCTACAAACTGAAATTATTTGATTCTTTTATTTTTTAATATATTTACTTCACTTTCAAATTAAATTAAAATTATATTATATTATTTTCCTCAATAACAATAACCTCTTCATCGTTAAGATTATCATTAACATTTTCAATGGTAGACAAATAAAAAAAAAATCCTTTTTAGATATAGAGTTGGTGTAATTGTTGAGTTTTATGGCAATGAACTTGTGGTGTTACTACAGAAAAGCATACTGGACGCATTTAATTGGTGAAAAATTAAATTAAATTGTGCTACTTTAAAATTATAATTAAACTTGTAATTGAAATTATTAAGATCCAAAAAAAGACAATAATGAATCAATTTTCAAATATAATTACGATAAGGAAAAAAATACAAGAATTATCGTCTACGACCCATTAATCATCATATTCATCGTTGTTTTGAATATTAATAAACCTCATGCAAAAACTGATTAAGAGAAGAAAAAAAAAATCCAAAACTTGGATTAGATTAGCCGAAGATATGTGCAATTGGCATGCCCCGAGTCCCACAAAGATTTATCATTTATGTAGGTGGAAAAAACCTGTTGAGATTGAAAGGCAAAGTGTAGAATTCCTCATTCCGATTATCTCCTCTGAATGTTCTGAACTTCACCCACCATGCCATCCCTCTATCTTTCTTCGATTTCTCCACCTCTATCGTATTGTCCAGGAACACCGCCACCATCAGTCCCACGGTCGCCGGCGACAAGAATACCGTATTCATGAATGCATTGAACTGCAAAATCACACGCACTTGCTTCAACATTTTGTGAACAATATCAACGCGACAATTTTAGAAGCTTACCCATCCAGCATTCGTGTGAACGAGGCCCTGATGGGACGGATTCCAATATTCATTGAAGAATTGTGGGATGGAAATCCCCAGGAAGAGTGACAGCCCTGTTATTATTAGGTTTCTCATGCAGTTCATGTTTGTGAATTGCAGAAAGGACAATCCTACTGAACCTGGAATCAACCAAGCAACAATTTTTTCATCTAGGTTCTAAAAACACGAGAGAAAAATACAACTTTGGGTTTGAGTTATTCGTACCGACAAGGCCGAAAAGTACACAATAAAGTGCTGCAAAGATTGGGAATGGTATGGATGCAAACACTGCACCAAATTTTCCTGCAAAATACATTGACACGACAGTATAATAGTTATGATCATCCAAATATATATGAAAATTTAAAAAAGAATATTGAGCATATAACATGTATGGATGTATTAAGTAAGATTGAAGTACCCAATATAGAGAAAAACATCATGAAGGCAGCAGATATCTGAACCACTCTGCGACTTCCAACACGGCTTAGTCCGAGGAGTCCAACATTTTCCCTGAAGCATATAACCATGATATCTATCAACATGGAGAAGAATACAACACAAGCAGCATGCAACAATGGCTGGTCTGAAAGTATGCATCTTACACAGAAACTGTAGAACCAGTGACCGTTCCGAATAGACCATCAAGCATGATGCCAATCCCCTGCAAAGATTATGAAAACCAACCAGCTCAAAAGAAATATTTTTTCAATCGGCTGCCAATCCGCTGCTGGTTCTAATAGTAAGGCAAAGACTCTTTAAAAATGAGGGCTTAGGTTCAAGTTCTATAACGCCTGAGTTTGATCTAGCTTGGTCTGATTGTTACCTGTTCGGACTTTTTAATTCTCTCTCTCTCTCTCTCTCTCTCTATATATATATATATATATATATATATATATATATATATATATATTCATCAGCTACTTGTACTTGTTGGATTGATCAAAGAAAGGAAAGAGCAAAAAAAGGAAATAGTGATAGTAATGTTAAACCATCCCACCTGCCAGCCAATCCCACGGCTTAATACGTAAGCTGGAGGCGGAGTTGCAATAGCCAATCGAGATGCCGCCTTGTAAGCTCCGGTGGACTATATCATCACAGGTAACGTTAAGAAGCAATTTCATCAATGCAGAAATTATTCAGTCTGAACTTTAAGTGGATGTACCTCGACCATAGACACGAGAACCGCAGACATCATAGCAAAGGAATGTCCAGCTGAAAATGTAGGGGGTCCCCATTGAAGAGGATAAGGGAACTTGAACCTGAAGCATTGAACATGAATGTCTGAAACAGTTAAAACAGATCATAAATCACGAGAAACCAAAGTTTATGTTCTGATATACCATGGAGCAGTCGATATGAGATTTGCTCGGTCAGTACGGCAACTAAGTTGAGTTGCAATTGGCTTGTCATGATAAGCCCCGCTGGCAGTCAGTATAATGGAATAGATCCAAACTATTGCAACACAGATTAATACAGGAAACCTTTCGAATATAGGGATCTCTCTTAATGGCCTCACGTGCTTTAGATACTGCCAATTCCCATAAAGCCGGAACATGTGAAAAATTAAAAATAAATCATGAAATAAAGGGAGAGCGCAAAGAAAAATGATACGAAACACTTACTTGAGACACTCCGATCACCAACAACAGCATTGGCAGCCCAATTTCAACACAATTTCCTAGCTGAAACAATTTGTAAAGAGAAGTTCCATGCTTCAGGTAAACTTCATGAATTTTCCAAGTAATAAGGGAAAAAAAAGTTTGTTTTATAGCAATACCAACCAAAGGAAATCCTCTCTGAAACAATCCCAACCCTACCAATGCGACCACTGGTGCCATACCAAGAGGGCTGAAAAATCTGCATGGAAAACCATAAAGAACAGTGAAGAACCATATAATCCAACACTGGAGGAATAGCAACTTCACATTTGCATACGCTTAAGAAGTACCGTGAAAAGAGACCCCAAACTTGGCTGTATCCGAGGATAATTTGTATGCTTGAGGCTACGATAAGAGCTCCTTGAGTCGCTCGCATAGTTTGTATAAATCTCTGCAAACCAATCACATGGGAAGATCTCTTTCAAATTACCCCTACCAAATGAGAAAGTTCAATTTCTGAGAAGGAAATCGAATTGACAGAGTCTAATGGGTTATAAAAGCCAGCTCTGCTTTTGATGCCCTGAGTTTAAAGATGTTGATTCATTAAAAGTGTTTACAATAAGCATCTTATTCTTAAGACAGAAACCCAATCAAAGCATGTTTCCCAAATTTTTTAACCAATGTTGATAAGTGGGTGTAATAAGCTATTCGAAGTTATGAAAAGGGTGAGACTTCTGTCTTGTCACCTGTATATGTATGGTTTGCATGTGCCTAAAAGTAAAAAAAAAGGTTGTGAACAAGCAACTTACTTCATGTTGGTTGGTAATCCGTTGCAATGATGAGTCATTTATTATATAGGCTATTGGGATAACATAAGTATAAGAGCCTCCAACAATAGCTGGCAGCCTTGTTCCAAAAAGCGCTTGGAGAAGTGTGTTAATGGCAGCTACAAAGAGCAAAGTCTGTATCACCAATGCTTTGTCCCTCTGGTTATGAGCCAAAATATGGATTAAAAAAACCGTATAAATGTTTAGCAGAACAATAAATGCATGATCTATCATGGCAAATAATGCCTACTAGGAGTTAAGGATCTCAACTCCTTAATCAATGGCATATTGACCTCAGATATAATACTACTCGGGAACTGATAAACTTGGTTCAAAGTTACTAGCATAGTTCCATTGTCCTGACTACAACTCATGATATAAACTGAGCATGCATTAAGATGAAAACAAACAAACGAAGTTGAGAATAACGAGCTTACATCGCTTCCACCCATTGCCGGAACGAGTAACGAAGGGATCATTACACTTGTACCCAACATCAGGATGTAGTTTTGAAATGCTAGTAGGGTGGTTTCAACTGCAAGAAAAAGCATTTTTTTCATAAGCATGGGAAAGATATTTAAGAATAAACTTGGCACCTACATGCTTGGTTTTGCCAAAATCAAGGCTTGTTTATAATTTTCAATGATCATATCTCTTAATGCTTGAAGGAAACAAAGTAGACTCTTTTCGACCTATCTCACTCCAAATCTAATTGCTCTCGTAGAGAAATGCTGATACTCGAAACCTCTTCAATAGGTCAAAAACCATCATCACATACAAAACATCATATCCTGACACGGATTGCTATAAGAAACACACAATGGCATTATCTCTTCCAACACGGAACTGATCATTCGTATATACAAGCATGCCGATTTTATATGATTGGAGATCAATAGCTGTGTTACAAAACAAATAGTCATTGCTGTCATACTAAAGCCATGACCCCTAACATTTTTAATGGATTTCCATTACTATAATCATTCAAAGCAAATGATACCCAGTATTTGCATCCTTCAAGCATGACCAATTTTGTATAGGCAAGCAAGGCAAACAAAGTGGGGTTGTTCAGTTAGATAAGAGGGAAATTACGAAAGTGCCATTCAGTAAAGTCCCAACATCCAGAAAACCATGAGCACCAAGTAATTTTCTGTTTGGTACCCAGGAAAATATCAGAAAGAACCAAAAAAAAAATCATGAAAAAAAAAACCCAGCATTTGTTTAACTTTACAGGAAGAAAATAACTCCCTAGGCCACAATGCCTCCTGTTACATTACAAAGTTACTGACTATAAAACAACCCTTTTGCTGTTATTCATAACGATGATCCACCACATCTGTTTCTTCTTGCACCATTCAGTGTAAATAATAATCTCATAAAGCTTAAAGACATTACCATAATGAGAACAACAAAGACAAAAATAATGGCAGAGATAAAAAAAAAACAAAAGACATTACCATCCCATTTATGCCATTCAGTGTAAATAATAAGCTCATAAACAAAGAAGTTACCATAATGAGAACAACAAAGACAAAAATAATGACAGAGATAAAAAAAACAAAAGACATTACCATCCCATTTATTTTCTCATCTACCGCTTTCTTTGTTTAGTTTACAGAAAACAATAACGTACCCCAAGAAGGGTTAGAGTCTATGCAGTACTCAAGGTCTTGAAGCTGGTCCATGGGAAGATGGGTTATTTCTGCCATTGCTGTTAAGCTTTGGGAAAGAGAGAAAACACAAAGTTAAACCCACAACAGCAACAAGAAGAAGAAGAAGAAGAAGAAGAAGGGGGGAAACCGAGAGAAAGTAAAGTACAGATACAAAGTGAAGAAAAGTAAGCTTCCAAGGAAACAATAAAGAAAAATACCCAAAAAAGAGAATCATATGCCAATGAGCAAAGGCAAAGGCAAAGAAGCATTGGCCTCTCAGTGATGCCCTCCAACACTTTTCTTCCTTTCTCTCTCTTCTGTAGTTTCCTCCTGCTCCAGAAGCTTAATTATTTTTCCTCTCATTTTAATTAGAGGTGATTTTGTTTCATTTATTTACCGGAGTTTTTTTTTGGAAGAATGAATGAAACAATTACAAGAGCGGGAGTTGTACATAATATCTGAAACCCTTTACTTTTAAATGAAATCTTAGACATTGTCGTTTGCGTGTCTTGTGTTGTTCCATTATTCTATCTTATTAGCCCACTTTCCAAGTTAAATCTTCCTTATTCTTCACTGTACTCATTAAAAGGAACCTACTTTACTCCCGGAAAGCTTGCTTTTTTATTATTATTTAGTTTTTTCCCTTCTCTCAATTAATTTAAAATTTTAATTTATTTGTTCAAATTATTTTACAATAATATATAAAAATATTTCATTTAAAATTTATTAAAATTAAAATTTGAGATTATTTACTAATTAAATTTAAATGTTTTTAATTGATAAGATGGTAATTTAAACTAAATTAAATTAAATCATAAAAATCTTATCTCAAATCTTTTTTAAATTTTAAAATTGAGCATGCGAGCAGATACTGATTTTTCAAAAAGTTATCATCATAAATATATTCTAACAATAAATATTAAAATAAATGTAAATAATAAAATTTAAAACAAAATCAATTGAAAAATTCATGTGAGATAAATGTTAATAAATAATATATAAATTATTATTATTAATACACTATTAGTGAAAAATCAAATCTATCAACGATGATTAGATGGTATTAGATGTTATATTATTTATTTTTATATTTTAAAATATATTTAAAAGTACACAAATATTATTTGAATATAATTTATAAAATTATTATTATTTTCATAAATAATAACTCCAAGTTAGATGGATATTTAGGGTCTGATTCGGTCAGTGAAAATTAATGGAAGAAATAATAAATTAAGATTAGGATTATGATTAAGATTAGGGGTGTGGTTGAGGGTGTGTAATGTGGGCGACCGCGTAGAGATCCAAAAAATAGGGGTTTCGAAATCGAGTATATATATCAGTTGTTGATATTAATAAGCATAAAAATAGGGGTCTCGAAATCGAGTATATCTATCAGTTGTTGCCATTAATAAGCATAAAAATAGGGGATCCGAAATCGAGTATATCTATCAGTTGTTGCCATTAAGAAACATAAAATAGGGCCCCGAAATCGAATATATCTAAAAAATAGGAGTCTTTTATAATAATTTGTACAGGACTCCCGACAACCTAATCACGCCCTGATTAAGATGATTTTTTTTTGTAAAATTATTTAAATAATAAATTATATAATTTTAAAATATATAAAATTAAATGATATAAAATATTTAAAAAATATAATAATTTTTTCTTTTTTAAAAACACGATCATCCAATATCGTTACAAAGAGATAAACTACATATTAATAATGTACGTACTAAAGATATATAAAGGATGAGTCTACAGTGAACGTCACACATCGAAACACACCATTAATATAACATACAACTATTTAAATTATGAGAAAATAACCTCAGTGACCAAAAATCCCATATAATATACGATTTTAACCAACTTTTTCCGGATTTGCCAAAATGACCAACAAAATCGCAATGCGATCGCTAATTCGCAACGCGATCTCCATTATCGCAAATTCGCGTTGCATTTTCGCAATGCGATAGTTGAAAATCGTGTTGCGATGGTCTACAGTATCGTTGCGATTTTCCCAATTCGCAATGCGAATAAGTAAATCGCAACGCGAATTGGGAAAATCGCAATGCGAATAAGTAAATCGCAACGCGAATTGGGAAAATCGCAATGCGATACTGACTATCGCAATGCGATAATAAAAAATCGCAACGAGATACTTACTTTCGCAACGCGATACTGACTTTCGCAACGCGATAATACATAATCGCAATGCGATTTTCAAAGCGTCATTATTATCCTGGCCAAGTATTTTATTTTTAAATTCCAAACATGAATATTAATATATTGGAACACTGAACTGTCCACAGTATATCCCGTAATCGCAACTCATAACCTAAAACCTAAAATCACAACTCAGTCCCATCTCCATCTCTCACTCTCTCACCCATCTCCGACGAAATCTGTAACATCCTCAATATCGGGTTAGTGACCAAATTGTAAAGTTTCAGAATTTGGTGACTAAAGTATAAGAATGAAATAGTTCAATGATTATTGGATACATATGATGAAGGTTATTTTGTAATTGTTAAAGGAAATAAAGGGTAAAATGGTCATTTGATCATTTAAGGAATTATATACACGTGGAAAATGGGAGAAATATCCAGAGTTCTCTTCTCCTTTCTTATTCTTCATGCGTGGGAGAGCAAGGCAAAGGTGAGAGTTTTATTAGTTGATTATTATTTGAATTTTAAGCTTGGTTTTGATCTTTATTTGATGGATAAACATAAGGAAAGCTTGAGTTACAGTAAAAATCAAAGAATGGAGGAGTTAAGAGAGATTAAATATTTGGAGTTTTTATATGAAACTTTGGAAAAGAATTGATAAGTAGAATTTGAAGTTAAATTTGACTTGTCAATGGTTAAATTAAGAGATTTGGAGTGATAGAATTTGATTTAGAACACATTGAAAATTTGGTATGATTTTTGAATCTTATATGGATGATAGGATTTTGAGGTTTAAGATGAAATAAATGAATATAGATTGGTTTAAGTATGTGTACTAGAGTTAAGAATGAAAAGGGATGATATATGAAGTGTTTGAGAGAAAATGAAGTGATTTTCGAGCTAAAAATATGATTTCTGGGCAAGGGGAATCGGTACCCATTCAAGGGGAACCGATACCCCTTCAAACGACAGAATTCCAGAATGCCAGAGGGGAACCGATACCCCCAGGAGGGAACCGATTCCCCCCTAAAGGAAAATGTTAATATTGGTTTAATAAGTTCGTTTAAGTTGCTAGTATCCAATTAAAAGGTGTAGGTATCTAATAATTGTCTTAAATTGTATAATTATGTAGATTCAGAGCCTAAACGAGTTCCGGAATCATTGACAAGTAAGATCGATCAAGGAGAAAGATAAGAAATTGGAATTGACTAGTGAGGCCAGGTGAGTGCATACAATTTAATTTATAATGTTTAACGGAAATAAGACTTGCGACAAGTCTATCTCCTCTAGTAGAAGGCCTGAATGTATGATCATAGGTATATGTATATGTGTGATTTGGGGATATGTGATATATTATAGTATGTATTAAATGATTTGTGTGAATGCATGCAGCGTGATAAGTTATAAGAATTAATATGATTACATGAGAATGTGAAATAGGTTATAGGATAGGTGACCATACATGTTACATAGTAAATGTGATCAATTATAAGAATCAATATAATAGATTTATATGACTACAGGAGAAGGTGATGAGTTAAATAAGGTTAGACTATAAAGTAATATGAGGATAATATATTAGTGAAGGGAATTGAGTATAAATGATGATGTCAAACTATAAGATAAGTGTTATAGAGAAGAAGTATACTTAAAGAGAATTATGGTATAGGAGTTATGTAAAATTTAACTAAATAAATAGATTAAACTGGTATAAATGGAAAATGAGATCAGTTAGGTAGCATTTACCTATGAGATAACCTAAGAGTATATGAATAATTAGCATAAATGACATAAGGAAAACTTATGTGTTATATGAATTAAGCATTGAAACAAACAAAAGATATATTCAGGTGAAGTTATTCGGTGATATGAGTATATGACATTATTATACGGTTTAGATGAAATACTATACATGAATAAATGTGATTGTGTGAGAAACGATAGAAAATATATGAGAACATGTATATGTTATATGAATGCAAGAACATGAGATATGTGACATGTGAATTATATGGAAATGTTCTACGCGTAAATGAGCCATGTGTTTATATGTATATGTGATATGTGATGTATATGACAATGAGCTATGTGAAAGAACTACGTGATTACATGTATATGTGAATGAAGATACAAGATTATATGAAATGTGATATGTGTACATGAATATGAAACAAAATATAAAAGATAATGCCCATGATATGTGTCATGAGAGCTAGGGGTATAGTTGGCATGCCAAGAGTCGAGGGTTTGCCTATGTTCTACGGAATATATGGACAATTTTACCTATGTCTTTCGAGACATATTGACAGTATACCTATGTTCTAAGGAACATATGGACAGTTTACATGGGTTCTTCGGGACCTATGGACAGTTTACCGAGGATCTTTATGACCTCTGGACAGTTACCGAGGATCTTTATGACCTCTGGATAGTTACCGGGGTCTTTGTGACCTCTGGATAGGTCCTTCGGGACATTTATATGAGCTGTGGTGACAGCATAGTGGTGCACAACCTCAATAGACTCACATATCTACAGTTCTCACAGGTGCACATGGGCTAATAAGAGATAACATGGAATGTAATGTATAAGATATATGTGATGTATATACTTATGGTGATATGTCATGTGTTGCTTGAATTATAATGATGTTGATAAAGATAATAATATACATGGGCAATGAAATTGGAAGACAAACGAAAAGTGAAAGTAATACAAGAAGATATGTTGCGTGTGTGTATGACATGATTATATATATTGTTATCATGCAATAGATACATGCATATTGAAATGTCATGATTCAATGGTATGAATGCACGTTCATGAATTTATTGTTATATGTTTAATTATTGCCTCACTAAGTCAACGACTTAGCGTGTGATTGTTTCACACGTAGGTTTCGAGAAGAATAAAGAGTAATGCGGAGCTAGACAGGTCAGTTCTCCTTACCAAATGTCAGATCAGAAAATGTATGTACTGTTTACAAAGTGTAGTTGGCATGTAGTCTAAAGATATAAATGGTATGAACTCTGATATCTGTTGTAAACGTTTTGAAATAATTTAAATGTTATCAAAGTTTTTAAATTACTCACTATTTTATACGAATAAATGTTTGA